ATAATTCTGCTCGCTGGGGCCCTCGCCCTCAGCGAAGTTGCTTGACACCCTACCTGGCAAAAGTCGCTCAGAGCCTGAGGCGCCCATTTGCCTCAGAGCCCAACTCACGTCACTGTACTCGAGCTTCCCTCGAGTGGGAGTCCTGAGATTCTGCATTCCCTGGGCCGTCAAGTTGGCCCCTTCCTCCAGCATGAGCCCCTTCATCTAGGAGGATATCCAGAGGTCGTTCGTCTCGGCCTCCTGGAATTGGGCCTCTCGCCGACTCACGTATTGTATGAGGGTCTCCTTACTCTCTCGAGAGGCTTCGAAGAGAGCACGACGGCCTGCTCGCCGAAGCTCGTCTCCTTCACGCTCCCCTATCATCAGATCCATGCGTCCGAGCACCACGTCGATCCAATCGTGGCCCGTGATCTGGGCCTCAGGGATGTCGTCAAACTTTGCCTACATCGTGTAATCGAAAAGCTTCAAGAACTTCTCGCCTCGCCGCCAGTGGGGCACGTCCGTATTAGTATTCCAGCGTCGCAATGCTCGGCCTCAAGGTCGATACTGGGCCCATCCGGGCCACGCTGGTGGGTCGGAGTAGTCCCCTTTTGCCCAGTTCTGACTGGAGCTCGTCCACCAGCTGTCCTGCCACTTGTCACCTTGGCCGGAGTTCTTCCAGCCGTCGTCCTGCCACTTGTCGTCCTTGCTGCCTGGCTTGTGCCAGGACTGCGACGGGTCGGAGCCGGAGTTCCAGGGATCCGATGCTGCTGCTGCCTCCCACCAAGGATCCTTCGGCTTCCCGTCGTCGTCGTTTCTGTCGCTGTCCTCCGAGAGGATGAGCCAGCTGCACCCGCCGCCTCGATTCCAGCACCTGACGGTCTTGTGGCGCCCATGGTCTCTCGAACCGTGCCGGCCACGATCTCCCGGAGCTGGTCCATGGAAATCGTCGCTAGGCTATGCTGCCTGCTGCCGGCGTCGCCTCCGCCGTTGCCTGCCCGCTGGGGCGGTCTGGGCTGAAGGTCGCGCCGGCGAAGTCGTCGTTCTCCGCGGGCATCTCCGCGGCCGCGCCGCCCCGGCGGCGCGAGCCTGGCCCTGGCCGGGAGCGCGAGAGCGGCCTCCGGGCGCGGCCCTCAGAGCCGCCGCCCCTCGCCGCCCATTGGCCCGCCAGCCTGGAACCAGGCTCCGCTACCAACTGCGGCAGCAGCAAGCGCCGTGCATGTTTTTCCCTTGAGCCAAAACAAGAGTACGCGTGAGATCATGACACGCACACTAAATGCAAAACCTGAGACGCAAATCATGCTCACCTGCTTCAAACTTCTATCGCTTGAACGGCGCGCCCAAGCACAACGACGTCAGGGGAATCCGACGGGCGTCGCGAGCCCGCGCGCGCGCGAGCAAACGCGGCAACCCCAGCTTTCGGCCGACCGGATTCGCCAGGAGATTCAGGGGAACACAACATTTTCCACCCGAGGCCCGCCGCTGAGGAGGCCCTTTCCCCCTCGCGATCCCCCGGGGCGCCGATCTCCTGCGCCAGCAAGACGAGCGCCGTCGCGGAACAGGGTCTCTCTCTCAGCGCCGGCCAAAAAGATTTCACTGCAGGACTCGATGCCATCGCACAAGCCAAAAAGCGAGGGCGATGGGGGCGAAGGGGTCGAGGGTGGGAGGGGGCGCGGAGCAGAAACTCCGAACTGGGGCGCGCGCAGGCCGCAGCAGCGGGGAGACCGGCGCTCCCCGACGAGCGGCTTCTTGCAAAATTCCCCGCCGAACTACTCGAGAAACGCCTGGTCGTCGACGCGGAGGGATGCATGCATGATCTCGTCGAGCAGATCATCGTCTCGGTCCATGTCGCAATCGAAGCCTGGCGTGAGCACCCTCGGGTTGATCGCCGCCGGCGGAGGCATCAGCGACGAAGTCCCATCGTTAGCGGGCGCGCCAGCACTGCCAACGTCAAATGGGGGAGGCAGCGCAAGCGTAGGCTCGGGTGCCTTCGCTCTCTGAATGACCGCCAACAAATCAGAAAACTCCTTGAACGTGTCAGCATTGAGCATAGCGCTGCGCTGCTTCTCATTGCCATCTGCCTCGGCCAGCAACTGAGGGCCCAGCTCGAGGTTGACGGGGGGGGGCAGTGGGGGGCGCGCGAACAAAGTCCAGATTCAGCGCCTCGAGCTCGCGACCAGTTGCCACCGACTGCGCCAGTACGTCATCGATTTTCTCATGAGCCATGGCAATGTCCATAGTCGATTCGTGGATATGCTGCTCCAGCTTCTTCATTTTCTTCTTGGTGCTCGCGTGCGCCAACCAGTGACCAACGTTCGCGCGCTGGGCGAGCTGGGGCTCGAGGGGCGCCAGCTCACGGCGGCCCCCCACAAGTCTTGCATCCAGTTCCGCATTCGCCTTCTCGCGCCTCGCCCAGATTGCCGCAGTGGGCGATGGCCACTTCCAGCTGTTTGGTGTTGTCGCGTATTGCATCTTCCTCCTGGTCCTTCGGGTCCTCGGCCTTATCCCTGGCACTGTCGCAGGGAGAGCTCGGGCCCGGAGAACCACCCGCAACTAATTTGCCACACTTGCGCTGTAACTCATCAAGACGTTGCGCCAATTCACCACGACGAATGTCATCGCCACCGGGCCCGCGAGAACGGCGCTGTCGGTGACGCTTCGCGTCCTGCTCGGCTGCGCCTCGGGGGGCTGACTTTCCACATTTGCAAACGAGACGTGATGTCAAGTTCGCATTCCTGCCGCGCGCGCAAACCCACGTCGGCATCCGTTATCCAGGTAAGACCTCGACGACGTCGCCATTGGACATGGGGGGCGCCCCTGAGGACCCGAAGACCGCTTCCACAGGAGATCGCTGAATGCAAAGCCAAATGGCTCGCAGGAACACTCGGCCGCCCTGAAGACGCATGCCGCTGCGAGCTCAGGCACATGCCGGAGCCAGAACGGCTGGGGGGCGGATGGGGAGAGGACAAGAGGGGAGAGGAGAGGAGAAACGCGGGGCGCTGTCTCTTCAAAACGAGGGCCCAACACCACAGGATGGTTAGGACGGAAGCCAAGCAAGGAAATCGAGCATCGCGGCGTACGTTTGGCCAACTCATGTACCAGACGCGATGGCACCGTCGAAAGCGATTGGCCCTGTTTGACAATCCGACTGGGCAGCCGGGATGAGCGCCCCCTTTGCGCCTGTCAGCTCGGCGCAAACAAACTTACAATCCCATGCTGTAGCAGTCGCCGGGAATGGCGCAGCGCCGTCTCCCACTTGGTAGCCGCCGTCGCAGAATACTTGCACGGCAACAGCTTTCCTCATACTACCTGCGGCCAGGTCGACGGAGATGCTGCTGATGTCTCGGGCAAGGCTAAGCGTGCAGTTGGCGACGTAGTCCGCGGCTGCGTTGAATCCATTCGGCTTCCAATCAATGGGGAGATAAAACCCCCTTTGCAATCGAATGACGAGTGAAGTAGCATAGCGAGGCGCTGTCCGATGCGACCCAGCGGCGGTCAATAGAACTCATAACTGACGTCTGCAACGCAACCTGTCATACCGCCACCCGACTGATTGTCAACCGCGACTTTAAGCTGCAATCGAAGAGCGTCTTTATTCCACAACTGGTCCCACTCCATGGAATTGGGCAATCCAATCATGCCGATTTGCCAGCTGGCCGCGCGTTTGCACGGGCGCTCTGCGTCCCCTTCATTTTCGCCCTCGCCGCCAAGTGATCGAAATGGCCGGGGCAGGTGGAACGTTTGGCAGGCCGCATCGACAAAACTGGAACGACATCTCATCCAATTAGCTTGGCTCGTCCCAAACTGGAAGCGGTCTCCATACCGTGGGCCCAACACCGCATGACAGATTGTATCGCCCTCGTGTTGCTGTCTGCCATGCATGCGCGTGGCGCCGGCTGCAGAACGCAAGCTTTGGGGAAGACCCTTCCGCAAGTCCCGCCGCCACTGCCGACCCCGGTCAAGACGTATCTGCGCAGTGGCAGGTACAGAAGTAACTATGCTCAGGTCAAAGAAAGACTTGTGCCCGTTCGACGATGACCACTTGCAACGGTTTCCTTGTCGCGCGCGCCATCCACAGGTCAATTTTGCGCGCCGCGCGCTTATTATATGCAAGGGCCCCTTCCCCAGGTTGGCGGCGCAGCCGAATAGCTGTGGACCAGCGGATCGCGTCTCGCAGAATAGCTGTGGACCAGCGAATAGTCGAGGCCAAGAGGAATGCGCACGCCCGCGGGATAGCTGCGTATGCTTTCAATTTGAGACTCATGGTTCTTTGTCCTGGGAGGCATGCGTGCAAATGAACACGCGATCCTCTCCCTTCCCATGGTTGTAGCATGTGAGCCCTCCGAAAACTGATTGTAGACATCCCCAAACCCCTTGTGGAAGCTCCAGTAACACACAAGATTCGGCGGTGGACAGGCCCCCCTGAGCATATCACCCTTGAGCGAAAAGACCTGGGAACAAATCGAGCGGGCGCAAACCCGCAACAACTGCGGCCTCAGCACCCCCGAGAGGCCTGGAAAAATGCAATTGGCGACTCGACTCGGCAGAGCGGGGTGTCTACCGACATCTGGACTCGAAGATCTTCTGACCCAGGTCAAACCAGACCTGGGTCAGTCAGGACCTGCAAGATCCTGCAAGATCCTGCGCCCAAACCTGGGTCCATTCGAAAGATCCTTCCAGATTCTGCAGGCTCCTGCACACAAGCCCGGGTCAATGCGATCCTGGCCCTGCAGGATCCTGCAAGATCGGGCGCTCTGCCTGACCCCCGTTTGCATTGACCCCCGTCTCAAGGCTCCCGATTGAATCTGTTGTCGGGGGTTGGCAAAGAGGGGGGGGTGCAAATCATGACCGGCGGCATGTGCGCGGCTCTGCGGAGGGGCCAGGGACGTAATGAAATAAGAAAAGGCGCCATGAAATCTGGGGAAATATCATGGTTCCCGTCATGATATCCACACACCCCTAGTCATCACCCCCCTCTTTTCCGTCCCCGATGTTGAGCTGGCGGGCCCAGCCGACAAGGCCTGCAGATAAGGTCCTGGTTGAACCTCCGGAACGGGGCGAGCCGCGGCTCGCTGGCCACACGGCCTGAGCCCCCCCGCCGCACCTCGCCGCCGGTGACGCCGCCGGACGGGCGAACGACGCTGACGACGACGGACGGGGGCGAAGGTCACTACAAAGGGAAACAAGTCCCGAGCAGAGCAACACGCACCACGACCACGACGACGCCGACGATGACGCTGACGACGACGACGGAGACGAGGCGCGCAGACGATCCGCAGACGGACGGCAGACCACGACGGACGACGACCAACGACCCACGACGAATGGCGCCGAACGACGGACGCCGAACGACGGGTGGACGGCGACGGACGACGCCAAACGGCGGACGACGAACGACGGACGGACGACCAGGAGCGGCAGACGACGGGCGGCGGCGGTCGACGACGAAACACCCCAAATCGACGGGCCACGACAGGCGCACGAAGCTGGACGAGGGCGGCGGACGGCGGACGACGACGCCGCACCTTGTACGCGGCCATCGGCCGGAAGGGCGCCGCCACACCCCGGGGAGCCGCCTTGTCGGCGCTGGCCGGTCGTCGCCGCCGCCGCCGTCGTAGTGTTTCTCTTCTCCTCCTCCCCACTTGGATCTCAGATCAGCGCGGGAGTCACTGAGATGTGGACGGCGCTGGTGGGTCGTCGCCGCCGCCGCCATCGCAGTTGTTCTCGTCTCCCCCTCCGCACTTAGGAACTCAGATCAGCGCGGGAGTGACTGAGGGGCTGGGGGGAAGTAGATGTGGACGCTAGTGTGGGTTGTGTATATCCTGACCTGGCTTCTAAGTGGGTTACAACTAACCTACGCGGATTGGAGGGGAAATTTTGATAAGACCAGGCTCAGTGGGCTCCGCCCGCTGCGCGGACTCGTGTACCCGCATATGACACGCAGGAAAACTGCAACACTGATATAGGTAGTCCAGGTTAGGCCAGGTATAACCCATTTTCACTCAGGACCCCCACATCCCCCTGGCCCCCCCCGCGCTGATCCAAGCAGGCATCCAACGCATGGAACAGATCAGGGCAGAAACTGCTCGTCGTCTCTTGCCCCTGGGGGGGCCGATCTGGGACCGTCAACAGAACGGCCCAGCATGGCAAGCCAGTCATGGATAAGGATCAAGATTTCGTCATCGTGTTATCGTACAGTCGGGGCCTTGACCTAAGGAACCCAAATTAAGGAACGAGGCCCCTTTTTCCATAAGTTAAACTTCGATTTCCGATCGAAAGCATAAGGAAAACCTGAGGCAAGCTGCGAAACACCTAAGGAACGCGGAGCCCCTCCCCAACGTAAAGGGTTCCTTCTTCAGGGCCCCGACTGTACGCTCTCCTCTCTCTGCTCCTCCCCACCCCCGAGATCTGACGTCTTTGTAGTTTTGTTACACGCGGTCCCTGGAAGCCCCGACTCTCGTCCTCGAGTAGTCTGGTGGCGGGCCCGTGGCCCGTCGATGGCCCCAAAAGGGGGAGACAGTGCTGGTGTGCTGGTTTGCTTCAAGACGCGGCATGCCTGGGGCAGGGCAGGGCCGAAACGTTGTTTGTCGTGTTGTGTTCGCTTTGTTGGTCGCTTTGCTCTACCTGTTTTCCTGCACCTCCCTGCCACAACGAAACACAGAACACAGCCGAAGTCCAGCAAACAACGGATTTCAGGTCCAGCCCTGGTCTGGGGAGGGGACGGCTCTTCTACCTAGAATGGGCCCAGGCTGCTTGGCAGACCACCATCAGACACCACAAAGCCTCATCCCCGCACAGGACACCGGGCGCCCGACCCAAGAGGTAGCCGCCTGCGGAGGCGAGAAATCTTGGGGGCGCCCCGGGGGGGAGGCTCTTCGAGCGGGGCTGGCCGTCGAAAGGGATCAAGGATGGACCACAAAGCAGGGATGAAGGGCAGCCTTCTGCAGGATCCTTGCTGCAGATTCTGACTGTATCCTGACCCGAGGCTAGTGCGCGGACCAGGGGGTCCAAGAACGCAGTGGAACAGCAAGAGAAGGGCACAGAAGACGAAGACGAAGAAACGCAAAGATATCATGGCCATGGCAATGATAGAACGCCCACAATCGAATCAATGAGTCGGATCGGCGATCTAAATGAATCGGATCGGCGGAAATCGGCAGCCAAGTCGGGAGAAGTAGAATCGGTGGAAATCGGCAGCCGCACAAGCCTCCGCTGAGAAATCGGAATCCAAATCGGAATCCGAGGCCGAATCGAAACGAAATCGGAATTCTTCGAAATCGAATCGACTCGGATCGGAGGGATCGGGGTGAGCCCTGGCCGTCAGCAGCCCCGCGCTGGACGCCCCCCCGAACAGATCACGCCGCGCCCAGCTCCGTCGGGCCGAGGCCGGGGCCGGCGCGGCGAGAGGAAATCGCAGCGTCGGCGAGGGGCGGAATCGGTGGCTCAGAGATGGGGTCCTGAGGGAAGGGGCCCTAAGGATGGGAAGAGGTCAAGGGCGGATCTACACTGTTTGAGGCACCTCGCCCTCAGTACCTCATCTTTGAACTTGGGCACGAGCTGAACAGCGCTTTTCGTTATCTTGTTGCTTTCGGTGCTCCTCGCTCTGTCTTCGCTCCGCATTAACTGCAAAACGAGATCAAGACGAAAACGGACCGCGAAATCGCGAAACACCATTTAGTTTGAGCCCTGCTTTGAACCCCGACGCCGCGGTTTTGTTCACAACGTCGACCCCCAGAAATCTGGACCCCTTCCCCAAGGCCAATTTTTCATCCTGAAGCGTTTGTTGACGGTCTTGTTTGACGGCCCCCAGGCCCAACTGGGCCCCAGGAGGCCGAAAATACCAAAACACCTCGCGCCGAGAGACTTGTCACAACGCGAGTGGGTCCGGGTAGGACCCATCCCCCAGGACCATATCTCTTAACCACCGACGAGACGCAGCCACGCAGCCCGCGTGGTGTTATTTGACGCGGATCGCGCCCCCCCCCCCCCCCCAGCACGTGCGCAAGGGCGTTCGAATGATGTCGGCATGTGGCGCGGGAGGCCCGTGTGGCCAAATCCCGCGAACATGCTGAACACAAGCCCACGAGCTCCTGCAGAATGCGTGAGGAGCGAGAACGTCGGCCGAGGCCTTGGCCACCGCGAGCCACGCAGCCCGCGCAACCCGCGGCCGCGCGGCCGCAGCCCGCGAGGAGGAGGAGGAGGAGGAGGAGGAGGAGGAGGAGGAGGAGGAGGAGGAGGGGAGAGGGGGTGAGGAGGCAGGAGGAGGAGGAGGGGAGGAGGAGGAGGAGGAGGAGGAGGAGGAGGAGGAGGAGGAGAGGAGGAGGAGGAGGGGGCGGGGGAGGAGGAAGGCCGAGGCCTGGGCACCGCGAGCCGCGCAGCCCGTGCGGCCTGCCGGGCCGCGCGCCCGCGAGGGGCGGCAGGGGCCGCCGCGCGGGGCGCAGCGCAGCGCCGCGCGGCCGCGCGCAGGCGCGGCGCGCCTCTACGCCTCCGCGGTGGGACGGCCGCGGCTGGAGGGGGCCGCGCGGGCGGGAACTGGGCCCCGACGCGCGGGGTGCCTATCATCCTCCGACTCTTCTAATAGCCCTCTCCTCCTCCTCCCTACACAAGTACCTCAGTCGAATCCCACTCACCCTGACTCCGCCTAATGCCCCGTAACAATACATCATCCCTCCTCCTCATCCGCTCCTCCTCCTCCTCCTCCTACTCCCCCCCTCCCCCCTCCTCCTCCTTCCTCCTCCTCCTTCCTCCTCCTCGACCCCACCTCCTCCCCTCTCCTCATTCCCTCCCCTCTCCTCGACCACCTCCTCCTCCTCCTCTCTCCTCCTGCCATCTCCTCCTCTCCTCCCCCTCCTCCTCCTCACTCCCCCTCCCCTCCTCCTCCTCCCTCCCTCCTCCGCCTCCTCCTCCTCTCCTCCTCCTCCTCCTCTCCTCTCCTCTTCTCCTCCTCCCCCTCTCCTCCTCCTCCTCCCCCTCACCCCCCTCCTCGACCTCCCCCCTCCTCCTCCTCGTCCTCCTCACCTCCTCCCCCTCTTCTCGTCTCGACCTCGACCCCCCTCCTCCTCCTCGACCCACCTCTCCTGGGTTCTGCTCGGCTCGTCCTCCTCGTCCTCCTGGTCTCGTCCTCCTCGCCCCTCGCCCTCCTCCTCCTCCTGCTCCTCCTCCCTCCTCATCCTCGTGCCTCCTCCTTCCTCCTTTTCCACGTCCTCCTCTTCACCTCCTCCTCCTCCTCATCCTCATCCTTGTGCTTCTCCATGTGCTTCTCCTCCTCCCCCTCGTCCTCCTCCTCATCCTCGTGCTCCTCCTCTTCCTCCTCCTGCATCTCCTCCTCATGCTCCTCCTCCTCCTCCTCCTCCTCCTCGTCCTCCTCCACGTCGTCCTCGGCGTCCTCCTCATCATCATCCTCGTCCTCGACCTCCTCCTCATCCTACTCGTCCACTGCGTACTCCTCCTCCTCGTCCTGCCTGTCCTCCTCGTCGTCCTTGTCCTCCTCGCCCTCTCGCTCTCCTCGCCGTTCCCGTTCTCCTCATCTTCCTCCTCCTTCTCCTCGTCCTCCTCATCCTCGTCCTCTTCCTTCTCGACCTCGTCCTCGACCTCGACCTCGACCTCCTCCTCCTCCTCGACCACCTCCTCCTCCTCCTCGCTGTGTTCGCTCGTCCTCCTTGTCCCGTCCTCCTCCCTGTTCGCCCTCCTCCTCGTCCTCCTCCTCGTTGTCCTCGTCTTCCTCATTGTCCTCCGCCTCCTCATGTTCGTCGTCCTCCTCCTCCTCCTCCTCCTCCTCCTCCTCCTCCTCCTCCATCTCTTTATTCTCCTCGACCTCCTCCTTTTGGTGCAATTCCTCCTTCTCCTCCTCCTCCTCCTCCTCATCCTCCTCCTCAATCTCTTCGTCCTCCTCCATCTCCTCCTCCGCATCCTCCTTGTTTCCGTCCTCCTCTTCGCCGCATCCTCCTCCTGGTGCTTCTCCTCCTCCTCCTCCAACTCCCCCTGGTGCTCCTCCTCCGCCTCCTCCTCCTCCTCCGCCTCCACCTCCTCCTCCTCCACCTCCTCCTCATCCTCCTCCTCCGCTTCCTCCGCCTCGTCCTCCTCCTCCGCCTCCTCCTACTCCTCCTCCTCATCCTTCTCGGCGTCCTCCTCTTTCATCTCCGCTTCGTCCTCGACCTCGTCCTGATCCTCCCCATCCTCCGCGTCTTCATCGTCCTCATCGTCCTCCCCGTCATCATCGTCTTCCTCGTCCTCCTCGTCCTCTTGTCCGCCTCGTCCTTCGCCTCATCGTACTTCTCCTCCTCCTCCTCCTCCTCCGTCTCGTTCTCGACCTCGACCTCAATAACGACCACCTTCTCATCGTGTTCCGTTCGCTCGTCCTCCTCGTTCGCCTCGTCTCGTTCGCCTCGCCCTATTCGCCCTCCTCCTCCTCCTCCTCCTCCTCCTCCTCCTCCGCCTCCTTCTCCTCCTCCTCCTCTTCCTCCTACTCCTTCTCCTCGTCCTCGTTTTGATGTCTCGTCCTCCCCCTCCTCCTCCTCCACCTCCTCCTCCGCCTCCTCCTCCGTTCCGTCTTACTCCTCCTCCTCCTCCTCCTCGTGCTCCTCCTCCTCCTCATCCTCCTCGTGCGTATCATCGTCCTCCTCGTCATCCTCCTCCTCCTCCTCGTCTTGAATATATCCTCCTGATGCTCCTCCTCCTCCTCCGCCTCCTCCTCCTACTCCTCCTAATCCATCG